TATATATATATTAGTTAATAAAATTTTATAACATGCGATTGTGTTTGATTTAGTTCGATTTACAAAATACAAATCGCAAATTAAACCGCGCGATTTCGTTAAAAAAATTACTCAAATACATTTAAACTAAATGTGATTTTTTATAGTTTCGATTTAATTCGATTCGATTTTACAGTTTAATCTGATTTAATTTTAAACACCTCTAAATCAAATACATCAAATAAAAAGTTTCACAAAATCAAACTAAAAAAAATTCATCAAAACCTCCATACTTTTAAACACCAAGACATTCAATTATTCTTAAAAAAATCCTAATTGTATAAAAAAAATCATTAGAAAAATCTCAATCCAATACACTAATTCCTTATATAGTCAAAGTGCATTCAAAGTGAAAGAGAACTAACTTCATCATCTTTCCATCTTCCTTCCTCGTACTTGAACCACCTTGGACGTCCCCGGTCAATTTTTGTTCTATGACACATGATGCATGACTCTTTGCTGCATGTCACAAACTCACGTAACCTAGAAGCCTTCTCACTTATAATAGGGTCAAACCTATATCCTTCATAATTATTAACATCATTCACAAAACAAGAATGTGAAATATTAAGCACTTCTAAATGTTCAAGCTTATCTAAAATCAAAATAAGAGCTTCCTTGACCAACTCTGAACATCTAATACTCAGTACTTTCAAGTTTGGAAGATACATAATGAGAGAGTTAGCAAACCCTAGATGAAAACGCCCCATGACCTTTAGTTCTCTAAAATTCTTGCAATTATTTGAAATTTCTTCAAATACATATTTTGGATCATCTATACTAGGCATTGTCATTGACTCAAGATCTTTCCAACTCCTAATAGCCTTTCGCATCGATATTTTCTTGATTCTATTCCATGATAGAAAGACTAATCGTCTTACAAGTGGACACCTGCAAAATAAATAAATTATTATATCTAAAGTATCATCTATGAATCACTCTTATGACTAATCTATATATAAAGATTAAGACAGTTATTACATACCTTTTAGCTGTGTACATGAATTGATCATCGGTGAGATACAAATCGTAATGAAAAATCAGATTCTTGATATTTCCTTTACTGGAATTCAAAGCAACAAACAAGAGATTATATAAAACATTGTCGAAGCAAGAATGAACCCAAACAAACGGCACAGATTTAGTCTTGATAAAATCAGATTTCAACATTGAGAAATCTAGGGTTTGCCAATGCTCGTAATTAGCTTTTCCCCATGCTTTCAGAAAACGAACAACAGCAGAATTTGATTCAAACATATCTATACGTTTAAAAATTTCAACATAGAGATCAGTGTTGAGATTCTTCATAACATTACTCATCATCATCATCATCATCTTCTCACCACTTTTCTCAACTTCCGTTCCATCACTAAGTCTTTTAAATTCCCTGCACATGATCAAATTTATTTTAATAGCACCTCGTTAATTCTATTCAAAAACAAGTTTAGGCGACGCTCATTATATATTGTTAAAACCTATATATATATCACCGAAAATAACGAACTTGTTTAATGTAGTTTAGATTGAGATTTAAAAAAAAAATCAAAATCTCAATCTAAACCAACTTTGATTCTTATGTAATATAGTTTGGGTTAGTTTTTATTTTTAAAAATTGATCTTGTTTAAATAATATATTGATATTATTTTTTAGAGAATAAAAAAAATCTAAACCTACCTAAATTTTAAAATCAAATATGGTCGAGCCCACTCAATTCAAGAATAACCCACCAAATCCATAACTATAGATATTTGATTTTATAATCCTCAAATTATAAAAAAATATTGTATTTTAATTATAATAATCTTTAATCATAACTATTTTTAAAGTCAAGAACTATTCTTATAGATTAATTCCTAAAATATCTCTATGACCATTTTATCGATTAATTTTTAATATATATAATTATATATATATATATATATATATATATATATATATATATATATATATATTATATATATATATATATATATATATATATATATATATTTACACAATCAATTCATAGTTATGCATAAATATTTAGTTTGGTAAAAATAGATGTTAACCGATAAATTAATAAGTTATGACTGATATTTTATATTTTATAGTTGATGATTTATAGTTAATTGGTAAAATTAACGGTTTAATTAATTAATAAATTAAAATAATATAAAAAATATCTATAATTGTTTTATTTTTAAATTAAAATAAATTATAAAGAATAATAGTGAGTTTTAGTTAAAATAATAAGAATAAAATGGAAGAAAAATAATAAAATATTATAATGTGCTAATTAAAATAATATTTAAAAAATAAACTATAAATTAATAAAATAAATTATATATAAACTTATGAAGAAAAAAAAAAGATTGATATCTAATAAATATTTTATTATCATATGAGTTTATAAACTATAAATTCAAAACATATTCAAAACATATGTTAGCAAACATAGTCTTAATTTGGTCATTATAACAGAATTTGTTTTAATTTTATATTAAAATTAAAATTAAAGTAATATTTTTTTATGGAAACTGTATTATTTTGGTTTTAAAACTACTATTATTAGTTAATGTTTAGTAAGATATAACTTGTTTTTTTTTTTTTTAAATAAACAAAATATATAAATAAAAAAGGCGCTAAAGCTCAAATAACTAATTATTTTTTCAAGACTGTTATTTATTTAATAACTAACGAGTCTAAATAAATATACATTTTTTTATTTAAAAAAGAATAGACTTCAACTTATTTTTATCTTTTTATTTTCTTGTAAAAATAAACGTATCTTCCTTTTCTAATAATAAGAAAATTGAAAACGTAAGTTAGTTTAATTACTAAGATTCATTTTAAATTAAAAAAAAATTGAATTTGAATTTTGATATACTTGTTCAATTATTAATCTGAATAAATATAAATATTAATGTTCAAGGAAAATAATATCACATTTTGATTTATTTTTTTTTAAAATGATATTTTTAAATAGTAAAAATATAAACACCAAGGATCAAACCATTAACCTTGAGTTAAAACAAATTTTTTTTTATTAGAGCGAGGGTTAAACGCTCGACAAAAACAAATTAAAGCAAATAATTCTAATAAGAATACTTAAATTATTTTCATCCGCTCAAAGAACACTTGCTAACAGCGTCGGACACTCAACGAACAAACTGTACTTCTCCTTCGAGGAGAAGTTGTACTTGGCTAAGGCATCTGCTAACTGATTTACTTCTCTGTGCACATACGTGATTTCCACCTCCCAATCTAGATCCCACATACTAATGATCTTAGACACCAAATTGTTCCTATTGCGAAGTGTATTCCTCTTCCCTTTTACATCTTGCACCACAACCATTGAATCTACCCGAATCTCAATCTTAATAAACTTCATATTCCTAGCAAGCTTCAACCCTTTGTATATACCCCATATCTCAGCAAGGTAAGCATCCTACGCCCAATAAAAGTAGAGAAACCACTAATCTATTCTCTCGCATCTCCTCGAATCGCATCGCCCCACCCAATAATATCATTCTTGCAGGCACCATCTACATTTATGCATATCCACCCACTCCTAGAAGACACAAAATTTACTTGCAGAGAGTCATGCTTTTCCCTATACAATTAGCCTTCATGAGACCTTCAGACACGCCATAATACTCTATGGTCTTCCTTACTCTCTCCACCTGATTATGGGGCCTCGCGAAACCATCATCATATTCTCCTTATTTCTCCACATCCACAACAAATGGCATGTCCATCGCTATAGCGGTAGAAATATTCAGACTAGCCATTAGATTGACTTAACTCGCATAGATCAAATAAAAATCGCCACCGCACTTTATTGTTTCCATAGAAATGGGAAAAAAGCAAATAAACCCAAAAAGAGAGGAGAGAGAATCTTGGTGCGGGGGTTGGTTATATAAAGGAAAGGTATTAGCACCCTAAACATCTACGGTACTCCGCAAGAACCTTTATGAGAATTTGTGTATTTTGGATATAAAAGATGTATACAAAAATAGATGGTGGAGATGAAAAAAGAAGTATTTTTTACAATTTTTGCACCCGTCGTTGTTGCGGCCCTTTAGTGCCTACATACCACCTTCCGTGCAATAGGAGATCAGGGTACTCGTAGTTCACCTTAAAAAATTTAAAATACAAGTGTGTTGGTTAATTTTAAGAGACGAGACATCATCGTCATATCCGAGTGGAAAATATACTTACTACCCACAATCATGAGAAAGGAGAATTTGCATCATCTAAAAGTGTAGGATATAGTTTGGACTTTAAAATCAACAAAGCCTTACTAAATACCCAAGTAAAAAATATCTCACTTTACTACATATCATAGAAGTATAGTAGTTCGCATCATTACAGGAATCAACAAGAGTCTAATCTTTTGAGAAAAAAGTTTTAAAAGTAAAAAAGTCAAGGTGACAAAATGGTTTGAATGAGGTTAATTGATTTTTAGTCTTGAGAATGATGTCAAAGTACGGTTAAGTTAATTAATGTTTGGTTAAGGAAAGTTTTTTTTTTGAAAATGCATGGACATAAGTCCAAGTTTATTATGAAAACGGTTCAAGTTAGAAAAACAAGAAGAGTTTTGAAAAAGGGGGAAGAAGATTTTTGAAATTAAAGAAGATAGAATGAGATAAAGGGACTATCCTAAAGCATAAGGTAAAAATCAAGGAAAATAACGATCTAACCAACAAGAAACCAATACTTGACATATGAAGTCAATGTATAATTCTCATCCTTTTGATTAAAACCAAGCAAGAAAAAATAATAAACCTCTTAGGAACACCAAGCTTCAGATGAATTAAGTCTTCATAAAAATTGAGTAGAGTAACAGTTGTATACATGGGAGTTCTCAATCACAGACAATGCATATAACCAGAATAACCTGCACATAAAGAAAATCAACTTGTTGTATCCCAAAATTTGCCCTCCAATTTTTCATTCAAGATGCCACCCTAGGGTTTCTCAAATACCTAATTTGGCTTAGAAGTTGATCAGACAGATTCTCTTCCTAGGCAGTAAGTCAGTAATTAGGGTTTTGCATTTCTCAAAGAAAATTGAGTCTTCGAGGTTTCAAATGGTCTTCATAGGTCTTCATGTCTCCTCAGGGTTGTTTAAATCAGTTTTCAAACCTCGCATTGCAAGTTTGCTCAATCAATGGTCCAGATAACTGAAAACGACTACATCAACCCAAAAATCACTCTTTTGCGAGAACAGATTCAAATGATCGTAACTTCTTCATTATTCAATATTTTTGAGTGGTTTTCCTTGTGTTTGATTCTCCTTGATGCCATCTTAAATTTCTCTTCACATGTTAAGAGCTGATTACGCGTAGAAGATCACCAAAATTCGAATGCGTTAGAAGTCGCATCATGAATTTTGACCTAATTTCAAACAACAGTCATCTGATTTCTAAGAATTGTGATTTCTTCAAATTACAAGACCTTGAGACGTTTATTTCTGGTCATGGTCATATGTGATGTCGTTCACGGATTTATCTTCAAAGAATCGGAGGAAAATTGTGTTTGAAAGATTTTAAAATTATCAAATCGTCGCAAGGCATTTGTTGATTTTGAATGTTCTTAATCACAGTTTTGTTTAAAGATTGACAGATATTCTCGAAGCATGTTTGTTTTGCATTGAAATTCCATCTTTTTATCGAGCATGGCACGCGAGTTCATTTTTGAATGCAAACTTAACTGGGACAAGATGTGAAGGTTAAGACTGTCATTTAAACAACCATGATTGTGGAGTCTGTTGTACCCCAAAATTTTCCCTCCCATATTTCTCAAAACATTGCAATAAAGATCCTCAAGTTGCTCAAGGTAGTCCAAGGGTTGGCCAGACAAGCTCTCTCCTAAGGCAGTCTACTCCAAATTAGGGTTTCATGTTGCATCAATATAATTGAGTCCAAGTGATCCCAAGTTCTCACCAATGTCCTAATATATTCTCAAGATCATCCATGTCAAGTTTCAAGCCTTGCAGAGAAAGTTTGCTCAGTCAATTGCTCAAAGGCCTGAAAATCGACTGTGCTAGGGCAAAAGTCAACTGTGGTCCACATACAGTCAAACTTCAATATTTTTGGTCAACATCCTCATTTTGAAGTATATTTCATCATTTGATCAAGGGTTGATGATGATTAATCAAGGATTGCTCATAATTCATCAAGACTCAAAAGTTGCTAAATTAGGGTTTTGTAGGAAAAGTCAACCCAACTTTGACCAAGCATAACTTTCTTATACTTTATGAGAAATGACCCATCCAAAGATAATTTTTAAGAGGATTCAATTCCCTACAATCCATCTTCATCTACCAAGTTCAAAATATGCACTCACAAGAAGTTATAAATTTGGACATTATAGGTCATTTTGAAAAGTCAACAAAAACACCTTTTTTGTCAAAGCATCATACATGAGCATGGAATATCAAAATGAGATGAGACCAAAAGGTTTGATTAGAGAACATCTCAAGCTTTCTAAAAAGTCCAAGAACACCTCCAAAGAGTCAAAATTGAGGAAGTTATGCATGGGTGAAGTTGACCCTTTTTGCAAAATTGCCAAAAGTCAACTATCCCTAAAATTTCAAATTTTTCCAAATGGGCCCAATCTTTTTCACTTGTTTTGAGTTGGCAACATAGCCCACGAGCTCTAGCCTTTGCCACTTGTCCATATCTTATTTTTTTTATTTATTTTGATTTTCATTTGAATTAATCCAATTGAAATCAAAACAAATCAAATAAAATCCAAAACATTGATAACAAGAGATTTTATGATTGTTTCAGGTCTTAAATTACAGATACCAATCATCCAAACTCGTGTAAATGCATAATGTGAACAAAAATATTGATTTAGGCCATGTTTGGAAAGGTTTTAAAGGTGAATCAAATCAAATCAAAAATCATTGAAGGAGGAAGATTTGGATCAACTTTGGAACCCTAATGCATTCCTTGATACATAAGGAGACGAGGCAGACCAAAAAAGAGGTCGAAAACAGGCGCAGCAAGCAGAGCAATATTTGAAAAAAATCAAGAAAAGTGCAAGATCGATTTCATTGTTCCAGGCCAATTCAAGACCTCTTGACCATTCCATTTGCTTCCTGGGAGTCTCAGTAAGCCGAAGCCATCAAGAACCAAGCATTTCAAGCCCCAAATCGCTCTGTAAGTCGTTCACGACATAGCCCTGTTCTTGAATTCGAATCTCATGTTTTAAGCATTGTTAGGTTGAATGAATCATATATTATTAATCTATAGAACATATGCAAGCTTTCTGCATCATTCAATTTCATTTATATGGCCTATACTGTAATTTACCATTGTTAGGGTTTATAGCTCCGAATTAGGGACTTTGCTTGCAGGTGAAATTAGCCTTCGTAAGTGGTACCATCATGTTCAGGGGGACGAGACGGGTCCAATCATGGTGTTAGGTTTCATTTATATAGCTCATGGAGGGTTTTGGAATGAACACGGCCTATAGCGACAGACAAAACGTTTGTAGGTAAAAGTGTTTTACTTTTACCCATGGAGAGAGGAAGGAGACGATTAGTTATCACCCTACCATTGGCCTATTCAAATATTCAGCGCCCATTTTCTTTTGTTTTCCACTAACTTTCGTTTTTTCATATTATTATTATTGTCTCATTACTGTACAACAAGCAACAAGTGGTCCAGTGGTAAGCGTAGCATGGAATTTGCCTTGGGGCCTGGGTTCGAATCCCAGGTCCCCCTATTTCTCTATATTATTTTCTTCCAGGTTATCCAGCGTGCTTACCCACCAGAGGTCCACCATGCGCACCCGTCATCAATCATGCCAAGTGGCTGGATGGCCAAACCTGATGGCCATCCAGGAAGAAACACAATAGACCAAGTCAAACGCGCATGCACCGGATTTCAAAGGTCAACGTGGACCTCTATTTTGGGCCCAGAATTCTGACTATTGGCACCCCCATTTTCAGGCCCATCTCTCATCTTTTATATATTTTTTAATATTTCATTTAATTATTTATTATTCACTTACTAACCAAAAATTATTTTCTCTTTTATCAAAAAATCACAAAATATTACTTTTCATAAATTAAATTTAGGATATTTATTTTTAGTAAAAAAATCAATTAATTTAATTAGGTTATTAATTTTAGATAACTTTAATTTATTTTGCAAATAATTAAAATCAATTAGAATAAGTAGGTTTATCACTTACTTAATTATTTTATTTATTTCCTAAAATAACAAAAACCCAAAAATATGTCATTTAATTATTTTCATTAATTAATTTAATAACCAATCAATTTTGCATTTAATTTAAAAAACCTAATTTCTTTTCTTAAAAAATATTAAAAACAAAAAAAAACATTTTATTTTTTTTTAGGATAGAAGGGTCA